CGATGGTTAGAGACATTAAGTGTTATGGCATTCTCGCTCACTTGGTAGACACTGGCACTCGTGTTGACCCAAGTGAAGCATTCCGCATTATTCATCAGGTCCCCTCGAACGGATGCAAATACGTTAGAATGCGTACGTTGGCCATAGCCGAGGCTATAAGTATTAAACATTTAACCCCCGAACTATGTGCCCAGAAACATCTTTTCCAAGCTCTGCATCTCCCCTGGGTTTGCGAACTCACCCCTCCCCCATGCCCCCCTTACCCGCACCCACAAACATTTTCATACAACAACACCGATCCCTCAGAACTGGGTCACACGACCGTCGTGATACAACGGCAAACCCCGAAAGCACAGATCTGAGAATATGGTATGCAACACACACAGACACATACAAGAACCGAACGATTCCTCACATTTTATCGTTCTCCTCCCAACCCCTAGGATTTTCCCTCATAAACTATAACGCCTTGATTATGAGTTATTGAAAACAATTGTTCACCTGAAATTGTGTTCTAAATGCAAGTATAGGCATATTTCGAAATTATGGTTACGCATGGTTACTTTTTGTAAAAGCCTAAACTGGAAGTGAAACTCATAAGTGCGATCTCGGGTACAACGTCTGTCTTTTCGGTTTTCCTTTGCTGCTGGACGCCACACATATTTTGTTGCATACCGTTATCTGATAAACAGGAGACGGAACAAAGCCCATGGACACAATGACTTGCTGTTGCGTCATCTTAATTGGCAACCTAGGTTTTGTGACTCAGAGTGGTGCACCACACAAACTCCCTTATCATAGACATGGTCTTGAGCCGGACCACAGTGAATCTGTCTACTAAATAGATTAACGGGGCAGTGCTCGGGTGTTCGAACTTCTGATCGCAGAGACAAAAGCACGCCGGTGACCGAAAACACTTGACCACCATCAACACTAATGAAATTTTAAGAATGGATTTCCTCCTGGAGCATATGTTTTATGTTGTGTCTGTTCATCTCTACTTCCATCCCAACTATAAAAAACAGGAATGATTTCTACTTTTTCCAAATTCGGCTCAAAGCAAAACCTAACTATTTTTAAATGAAACAAGACTCATTGGTCACTGTTCTTCACAATGATTCCATTCGTTCATTAGACAGCATCAATCACTCACTACCTGGATCCGGATTGTTTTCATTCAAGGTTTGTGCTAAGATCAGGAATGATTGTGGATCAGATCTGTTGGGCTGTCACAAATTGCAGCACTTCATATCGGTAGAACACTCATATTCGGTCGTACATTAAGTATACGCAAAGCTGATGATAACCAACCAGGTTGAGCAAATGATACATGGTTTTTCAGCTAACTTTGCAATTATGTTTTCATTCCTGTCATATGTGAATAACTCTTTTCACAATATAGAACATTTGTCTAACCATGGATTGGCTTTGCTGCACACTTCCGTAATGTAACCCGTTTACTACTGAGCAGTTTTCTTTGTCTTTTATTCTTTTGAAAATTTTCGTCTTAACAAGGGAATCCAATTTCCTCCGTTTCCCCAGGTACGTTCCTATTTGGCACTCGGCTCCAGTGCAAATGAACCACGCCGTGTAGCCTCGTATGCGGAAATTGTCAAGCGACGCTCCTGGAGTGGCTATCTTTCACCACATCATTATTCCAACGCTTGGAATAGATCCACCGATATACGCCTCGGTGAGGGTCGCACTCCTGTAAATTGGGAAATTTGCTCTCCCGCTCATTCCATATCCCCGTTTATTCGAACACCATCCTCATCGTCTCCTTCCTCACCCTCAATCCGTTCCTCTTCAAGTCGATCCCCGCGTTCATCTCTTAGTCGATCAAATTCGTCTACCGCGCTCAGTTCAAACCGATCTAATAAATCATCCAGTCTTTCACCGCCGCCCTCTTCCCTATCCGCGCACATCTCTTCCTCGAACTCTTCCCTGCCGTCAATTCTTCGCCCTCGCTGCGCGATGGCGGCTTCTCCCACATCAGCTGAGTCCTGTGCGTCGTTGCTGTCTGTGGACTTATGCAACCGATCCTCTTTGGCTCGCCCTCCCCCACATGCATCGTCTGATTCACCGCCATCACCACCACGGCCAATAGAAGCTGCACACTCTCCAGTCAGCGGTGCTCGTTCACAGTCCCCACACTTGACATCTAACCGAGTCTCTTCCTCCTCTCTACCAGCTAACGTGCATCCACCGAATTCCAAACCGACAACCATACCACACTCTATTCACACTTCCAATATAACTGACAGACCGAAAGATTTGGATGCTGAATTNTCTGGTCCCTGTTTGGTTGTTTCTCGCCCAAGTCCCGTTCGATGTGGCTCTCGAAGCAGTCAATATGAAGTTGGAACAGTACGAAGAACGAATACATAGGTGAGTAATCTTCCATTCATCGTCCGTGTTAACAAATGTGCCGTACATTTTGGACACCGTGGCTAATTTCGCATCTAAAATCGTTTAGCAACATTAATTTCGTTTAGGAACATTCTTGATTATTTATTATTACTACTATTATTATTATATCATATATATATTACTATATATATATATTCCGTGTCTGAAAGGATTCGTGGGTTTCAATACTGCTCGAATCACCAAGCCCACATCAATTTATGATTAAATTTTTTCAAAATAAATATCTCCGAATAGTCTATAAATTTTAGATTGCGATGTGAGCACTTTTTCTCTTCCGGGCTATCGTTGATGTGGGTTTTTTTCCAAGAAATTTAATGTCCTCTTTTGCCAAGGTGCTTATTATTTTCCAACAGAATAAGTCACAGTGTGATACAGAGGAAACGGTACATGAATAATGATGATGATGACAAATATCTATCGAAGCAAATTTTTCCTCTCTTTTCCCATCAGATTACCACGAAATCCTAATAGATTCCTAAATCATGGCTACGATGGAACTCTTGAAGTTGTTCTCTAATTATGTCACTGATTTGCAATCAAAACTATTGTTCGAAATCGTGCCCCTAATGGAATTTTCCTTTCCAGCAATACTTTGCCCAATCAGGTCAGTTTAGATCATCTGGTGGATGAGCTACGTGAGCTGTTATCCACTGCTTTGCAAATTACAGTCACCTATCGGAAACGTCTGATCACGGCGTTACAATTGGATACGATGGCTCAATTGCGAGTCCCGGCCGGTGTGTCCCGGGCACGCAGACGTGCCACCCGTTCGGTCATCGGTTGCATGCATTCCGATTCGGATTCGGACGTTCCCGGTGGAAAAGATCCCTATCTGTCTGGGACAATGTCCGGTGTGGCTCGACCGGGACCACCGGGGCGATGGCCTGATTGGTTCCGTCGAGCCACGCATGAAGTTCGCGCGTTTCTGGACGATACTTCACCAACTCCGGTCGGGCCGAATCAGACTGTGGCTAGTCGTGCATGGCCTGTCAGTTTGCCCGTATTGCTCGATGTCTATGTGGATTGTTTCACTCGTGTCATTGATGCTCAGACGTGGGTTGGAGAAGGAGTAAGTTTCCATTAATGTATTCGTATATAATTTCTTTTCGGAACTGGAAATGACCGACCCGTGCTGCAAGTTTGGCTGCTCGAATATTGTTGGCTTCTGTTTCTTAAATCATAAGTGAGTGTTGCCTTGATGCGCCTGACTACTCCTGTGAAAGAATGGAAATCTGTTACTGACTGTTGAGATGCACAATCGGACACCATCACGAAACATGCTTATCGAAAAAAATGTGCCTGTACTTTGTTTTGGCAATAAAATCCCAGCGCTTAATTCTCCTACTCCAATTAAAACCAGTGACTAAAACGTCCCTGTTAGTAATTTAAATCCTCCAGTTGATACTATAAACAGTTGTTAAGATTCACTTACAGCTGCTATTTTCTTTCCCCATGTGTTTATTTCTATGGCTACCAGTGTCCGCATGGCCTTAGACATGAGGACGCATCAACTTGATAACCAGCTTCTAGGTTAGACTCGAATTACCGTGTTTGTGTAACGACACGAGTTGGCGACGACCACCGTTTTTGTGTGGCTCGCATGCCCCTGGATTGATTGACTGTCTTAGGATGCGGTAATTGTTGAAGGAGGTGGTGGCTAGAAAATGGTTATATGTTGGCATCGCGTAAAGCTACGAGACTTCCCACCGATGTGTTATAAATCCAAAAGACGATGCCGGGACGAGTATAGTTATTTATTATGAATAACGGTCGGGGTATCAGTAAATCGGCATACATACAATAAAATGTCTCGTTTGGAACGACTCTTCGGAATTCCCACAGGCATACAGGATAGTTAATGAAACGCTCTATCCATTGACGCGTGTTCCTGTAGTTACCATACTGAACACAGAAATTCGCTCCAACAGCTCTTCTTCGCTTTTGACCGTTGAAAGAAAGCGCCCGTCGCATCCGTTTACGTATTACTCATGAATGTGAGTAGTACCCGTGCTCAGTATATATTTATTTTCACACATCTGAATCCAGACTGTCTGCCAAGCAAATCATGGTACAATAATCATTATGAAAAAGAAAGTCGTTCCATGATTTACATTTAGGCTGAATACTGCCAAGTTGCCCAGGCTAAGGCAGGCGAATTTTCTTAAGGTATCCAAAGCCGGAGCCTTTGGCTCGCCGAAGTCTGACCCGCAAGGCAGCGGGGCGGTGTGTGAGAACCGCAGCCCATTGGAAGCCGGTGTCCAGTTCATCGGATCATTCACCCTTTTTATGGAGTCAAACGTCGAGGGTGCCCAATTGAGCCGGTGACCATTGCCATAACCGTGAAGGTGTGTGTGTGTGGTTCGTACACCTCTTCATGGTTGGTTTGGAATCCGGGTTTTTGGCCAACTCCCCTAGGTGAACTGAGAGTGGTCCGCCAACTCGGTTATAGCCCCGGATATTGGCTTTTCGTACTCCCACTTTTATGGGAAAAC